GGGGGCTGTTGTTGCCTGCGGGGATTACCTCTTCTGAGCTGGGAGAGGTGGGAAAGGGGCCGGGAGCAGCGGTAGCGATGGTGGCCAGGAAGCCCCTTCCTCTGGTCCAGGAGCAGTGGGATGGTAGCTCAGAAGCCCCTCCTTCTGGGCTGGGAGCAGTGGGAGGGATGGTGGCCCGGAAGCCCCTTCCTCTGGGCCAGGAGCAGCGAGGCAGAAGGCGGTCCAAAAGCCCTTTCCTCTGGGCTGGGAGCAGCTGGAGGGATGGTGGCCAGGAAGCCCCTTCCTCTGGATTAGGAGCAGTGAGACGGCAGCTCAGAAGCCCCTACTTCTGGGCCGGGAGCGGCGGGACTCAGTACCGTGGTCTGGTGGTCTGGTGTCCTCTGCGTCTTTGTATTGTGGAACCAGGTGGCTGTACAGAGGAGCGGGGTGGGGGGGTGAGGGGGGGGCGGGCTGTCCAGTGGGTTGTTGCTGGAGCGTGGGCTGATTCGGTGTGTTCCGCGCTACTCGGGACCTCGGGAGGGCGTGCGCAGACCTGCCTGTCTGCAGCGGGCTCTGCCTAAGCATTTCTTGTTTTGTCCTTGGCAGCTGGAGAGTTTCTAGAGCCCCAGGAGCAGCAGTGTTACCCTTTTGGTAGAGTCCTCTATCCTCTAATCTGGTGGTTGTCAACTGGGAGCAATTTGCCCTTCCTCCCTTTAGAGATGTGTAATGTCTGGGGACATTTTGGTTGTCCCAACTAGGGTGGGAGGGCACTGCTACTGACACCTAGTGAGTCGGAGCCAGGGATGCTGCTAAATATCCTGCAGTACACAGGACAGCCCTCTTCCTCTCCCACAGCAGAGTCCTCCGGCCCCGCCTGTCAGCATTAGAGCAGCCCTGCCTGACCTGAGCCAGCCTGACCTCTGCTGGGTAGCGCAGGCCATGACAGCTGGGCTCTGTGTGTGTCTGACCTTTTTTCTGCACCTATCTGCTCCGCAAGTCTGGAGGGCAACTCTGTCATCACGTTTGGCTCGACACACACATAATGCAGGCCACTCCCCTATGTGGCTTGAAATGCAGAGTGTGACAAGATTCTTTGCTTAAACTAATTCTTCCTGCTTTACCCTAATGACTGAAATTCCTAAAATCAGAGTCACTCGGGAAAGGAACACATTACAGAAATAGCACTTATTTTAGAAGCAGATTCAGGGCTGGAAGTAAAACTTTCCAAATAACTAACTCTGTTCCCTGGGCCAAGTTACTTTAGTAACTGCTGTGAGACTCATCTTAAAATGGAATTAAAGCACCTACAAAGCTGGGAACTTAAATGTTTTTTAAAAGTGTGATGATTAGGGTTTGGCACAGAGTAGGCACTCAACTATTAGTTATTTTCTTCTCTTAGATGAATTTTGGGTCTCCAAAAGGACCATTACAAAATTTTATGTGTGACTTAGTAGAGTAACTCTCACTTAGCAACTCCCACAAACATCAGCCCAGTGCAGTGGGTGGCTTCCATTTCTAAGGTCATCTTCATCTGTATGAGTCTTAGGCAGGCTCCTCGCATTGCAGATGGGTCTGTGCTTTTGGTGGAGGGGGTTTCTGGAAATTTCACAGTATGAAGCATTGTACATATGACCTTTGAACTTGCGGTCAGAGGCATCTGACTAAAGTAGATACTAAAGTAACTGAGAGGAGCTGAAAGGGTTTCATGTTTTTGATGGGGTGGGGGTGGATGGGTAGAGTTTGGTGTCACCTATATCAATTTTGTGCCATAGCTGAGTCTAGTTCATTTTTATTCCTTCTGCTATGGTTTTCCCATGCTGGGAGAAACAAAATTTAATAACTAATCCCAATATGTCTAGAGGCAGGTCGGGTTGGTGCCGATGTAGGGGGAAGGTGAGAAGGCCAAGCATCCCATATTCCAGGCCAGACTAGTTCTTTCATATATCATCCACATGTTATCAGAGAAATAGCTTAGGCTCCCTAGAAAATCCTCGCGAGCCCAAAGAAGGACATTTGTACTGCAGCCCCACAAGCCTAAAGTCATGACAATTAGGAGGCAAGGGTACAGGTTAAAGTTATGCTCTTGGTTTGCCAATTGTTCTAGGAAAAGGTTAAAGGGCATATTAAAGGTTAAATGCCACTATTTTGTAAACCACACAGAAATTCCTTAGTGTAACAGTCAAGAGCTCCTTGGACCTAGCTCCACCCTTTTGGCCAACTTGGGTTCTGCTCCTCTCCTAATACACCCTTCTTCTTTACCCAGGTAGATGGTGACTTCCCAAAGCAATGCCAGTACACGCTTCTCTCCAGCCCTCTTATCTGAAGCACATACAGAGCTGATGAAAACCCTACTTGGGAAGGACAAATCTTAAGCAAATTTGTTCCTGAACTAGAATAGTAAAAGTCTAGTAATTTTGGAGAAAGTTTGCTAACTTGCACCTTGCTGTCCAATTTTTAAATGTTAATATATATTATTTTCTGGTTTGATTTTTCCTCAGTCTAATGTTACCCTTGAATATATTTTCAAATTAAGTTACTTGATTACAAGGGAGGATATTAGCCATCTTTTAAGGCAGAGTAGGGTCTTGGGAAGAGCATGAGTTTTGGAGACAGATTAGAAGTCCTAATCTTTCCCTTCCGTTGAGATGAGCTCTTTGATATGATGCTTAATTTCTTTGAGCCTTAGCCCTTCATGTGTAAAATAGGGATAATACTTGTGATATCACATTGTGAAAAATGGAGATAAAATCGATAGCACTTGACATAGTGCATCCAATAAAATGCATTTATGCACTCAATAAAAAGCAGCTATTTCTAGATACCCAAAATTTACTCTTTAAGCATTAATTATGGTTTTCAAGAGTGTTCTAGGGAGTCTTTGGGCAGCTTTAGGAGAAAAGGGCAAAGAGGAGATTGACATAATGATGTTGAGTCCTTTGTCATCACTTTGGCCAGAACTGCCTCCTAGCTCAGGGATGCCCTCAATTGCAGGAGCAAAGCCAAAGTCTGAGTGGCATCTCTGGTCCCTCAAATTTCTGATGCCAGTATCATCTCTCGGAGTCTTGGAGGGGCTTGCTTCAGGGAAAGAACAACCTAGGAGGGATGAATAATTTTCCTCCTCTCTGTGTCCATGTCGGCACATACAGCATAGTCCTTTCAGTTGCTGGAATAAGTTGACAATTATAGGACACTTGCTATGCATTAAGACTTGCGGTAAGCATTTTATACTTATTTTCTCACTTAACCTACACAGAAATCTATAGGTGATGACCTTTAGTATCATCATTGTGCAAAGGTGAAAACAGTAGCTTTGACCTTGCACCACAGAGCATACAGCTACTAAGTGTTCACCAGTTCTTCTTACCCTAATACCTTTAGAAGTTGGAGGTTCTTGAAATCTGTCTGCTTCAGTCTGTGCTCTTGAATTTATGCTACTTAGGATTCAATATTCACCTTCCATACAGTTGGTGGAGAAGAAGCAGATATTTCTTGTCTCCAGAGGGTTCTCATGGGTGAAAGCAGTGGTCCGGGATTGGGGCTCTGACTCCCCAGTCAAGGATGAGTTGTCCACCTGGGATGGGAAGGAGGATGAGTTGTCAGGTGAGCATGGGAACAAAGGCAGACTGACTTACAAAGACATTGCATCTCTGTCACCGTTGTCGTCGTCATTGATATATAGAGAGAAATAAATATACAGGCCAGTACTTCGTTGTCTCTAGCCACAACCTCACTAGTACCTTCTTAAAAGGGCTGGGGATTTAGCTCAGTGGTTTCGGCACCTGCCTTGCAAGAGCAAGGTCCCGAGAGTTTGATCCCAAGTACCCCCCCCCCCCCAAAGACTAGTAACTTCTTAAGGCTCGGAATGATAAGATCATCCTTTCTCTAACTGAGCCCAGGCCCCTTTTGCACTTTAAGGCCGTGCTAGCTTAGTCCTCAGCTTTCCACATCTCCTCACCTTACACCCTTGTGCAGAGATAAGCCGTAGGTCAGCAGGGATTCGGTCTCCGGCCTTCACTTCTACCAGGTCTCCCACCACTATGTCTTGTACATTAATTTGCATCTTCTTTCCTCCTCAAATTACCAGGGCTTGCTATGGAAAGATAGTGCAGGGCTGTTTCTAAACCCTTCTGCTTCCCTCATTCTGGTCCTCCCCTACAACTTTCTCTTCCCCTTGACTCCTCATTTTTACCACGTCACTCACCACAATATTCTTGAAGGTATCTTTGGGAGAGTGCACATTCCTACATCACTGTCTTCAGGGCCCTTTGCAATGTGACTTTGGTAGTTTTCCCATCAAGAGGAGGGATCTATCTCTTTACCCCTAAATCTATGACATGCTTTGGTCCATAAGACATTAGCAAAAGTGATGCAGGCAAAGGCTTAAAAAGTACCTTCAGGTTGGGGCTTGCCCTGTTTTTCCTGGGAACCCTCTGCCTCATATAACAAGCCCAAACTCTCCTCCTGGAAGAACAGAAGTTAGGAGGACAGAGGCCCCAAACAAATGAGTGAGGTCATCTGAGATCATGTAGCACCAGCTGAGGTCAGCCCAGACCAGAACAACAACCCAGCCACAGGGTGGGGAGAAAAAATGCATTATTTTAAAGCACTGAATTTCAGGGGGTGGTTTGTTCTTCAAACTCCTAGTTCAAACAACTACCAAAATATTTTCTCTCAAAACTCCTATCCAAGGGGGAAAAATTAAATTATATTGATACCAAAGGAAGCTAGACTATCATTCTAGAACATGATCACATTGTTAGGAAATTTTAGAGCCTATTCCTTTGCAAGCTTCTAGGCCTATGCCTAGGAGCCCCTGTCTATTACCATGTTACTTCCAGGTACCTTTCAAAACTTTTTATTTAGAAATAAATTTAACCTTTAAAAAAGTCACAAGAATAAAAATAGGACCACAAATACCTGTGTAAGCTTGACCTATTTCCACCTTTTAGAATTTTACCTCATTTGCTTTGTCATTGGTTTTTATGTCTCTATGTATGTGGTATGTGTATACTTTCTTCCCCTTGAAATATCTGAGGGTACATTATATGCATTGTGACCTTCTATGCTAAGTATTTTAGAATACTCCTAAGAATTTACAAAGAATTAGGATATTCTCTTAAGTAAATGCAATACAGTTATCAGTTTTAGTGAGTTTCACAATACTATTCCTCAATCTACCAACTGGATTCTGGTTTTGTTATTTGACCCCAAATATCTTTATTTCTTGGCAGAAGTGTAATTGAGTGATAGAGTATTTGCCTAGCATGTAAGGGGCCCTGGGTTCAATTTCTAGCACTGAAGGAAAATAAAGAAATCTGTTATTTTATCCTCCAGAATAGCATCAGGCCTAGGGCTAAGTATTGAATTCAGTTGTCATGTCTCTCGGACCACCTTTAATTTAGAACATTTCTGGATTCATTGTCATTAAAGTCATCGACATTTGTAGAATCCAGCCTCCCCACCAATCCTGCCTTTTTATAAAACAGAATGTTCTCATTTGGGGAGAGTGCTATGTTTCTTCATTGGATTCCAACTGTGCTTTCCAGGCTACTTCTTGGTGATGTTGTGTTTTTCTCAGGGGTTCGCAGCCTTCCTGGACACCTTTAATGTCTAAGAGAGTAACCTAGACCCACCCTCCCCAAACCAGCCTGACTCAGCTCACTCATCATAGGTTGTTAATTCTCCCAGGGATTTAATAATTGTAATTGGTCCTGTTCATACCTCCTCTCACTGCGTCTTCCCACACCAAACCTACCTGTGGCACCATGTTCTTAAAAGACTCCATGATCTTGGAACTCCTGGCCTCCTGGTAATAAGAGAAGCAGCCAGTGATGCCAATGATGACAGCCACAACAATGCCCAGGTACAGCTAGGGATGGGGAAAGAAAGGGTCATCAGTAAGTCCTTTTCTTCCTTTTCATCCTACAAAACCAGCTGGAGAGCTGAGCTGGAAAGCAGAGAGACTCAGAAGAATTTGAGACAAGGTGGGAATAGGTGGCTTCTGGGGAAGGAATCCTGAGCTATGGTGAGTGGTCAGGAAAATCCCAGGTCAATGAAGGCTTGTATCTTCTTCTCCAGAAAGGCAACTCATCAGGAAGAAGGTGGGGGTAGTGAGGGAGACAGGGAAAGAGAAGATGAAGAGGTTACAATTCGGGGAAAGAGAAAAGGACTTCACAGTCCCTTGATGATTGATTGGGAAATAGGAGGAAGTTTTTGGGGCAAATCATGCATCTCAGGGGCTGGAACCAGGAGCTAATTAAAAGCCCAAGCCAACCAAGATGGACCAAAGCCTCCTTAGGAAGTGCTGAGACTCTTAGGGATTTGGGGTGGAGGACTTCAGGAGTGTTGGGGTGCTGAGCAGAAGAGTTTCCAGGGCTGAGCTGAGGTGGGACTGGCCAGGTGAATAGACTCACATTATCATTGGTAGATTTCTCATTGAAATATAGCTGGATGCCATGGGCCATGAAGCAGAGAATGGAACCAATCCACAGAAGGAGGGCAAAACCACTGAACAGTTGTTTACAGAATTTGACCCATTCTGGAGTGGTGCGGGGAGGCGTAAGTGTATTGAGTCCATCCCGAATCAGGATTTCCTTTGCCTTTTCAGGACTGTGGCCCTGTGTGGAGAAGAAATGGGGCTGGAGAGAGATCTGTGAAGAAAGAGGTAGCTATAGTAAAGGGGAGTTATAAACTCCATTTATAACCTCAGGATGGGTCTAGACCAAAGCAGCTCTCTGAAGGTCAGCCTGAAAATTTCTCCTAGATAAGGTTGGATTTTAAAGTTTGATCATAGAAGGGCTATCATTTAGCAAGCTTCCATAGGAAAATTGGTTTCTTTATTAATGGATTGATTTACAAATCTTTTTGAATTTGAACACCTATCTTGGGGCCTGATATTGTGAGAATACCAACATGACTAAGAATGGTCCCTCCCCTTATGCCTAAGGTGGGGAGATAAATATAGAGAGATGGCCAGGGATGTACCTCAGTGGTTCCACTGTCTGCCTCACAAGCGCAAGGTCCTGAGTTCGATCCCCAGTACCAAAAAAAAAAAAAAAAAATAGAGAAATCATTCTAATGTGCAAGGCCAGTGTAGTGATGAGGTATAATACATACCACTGATAACATACTGACATCCGCACTTTGACTATCCAACTCGGAAGCAGGAAGTAAAATACCAACTAAAGGCATGAACACATAGATTCTCATTCTAATATTGGACACTAGCTTATGTGCTTTTTCCTTTAAATAAATATAACAGTAGAATCTACCAATTCTCATCAGCTCTCCCCAACTTTGCCTCAGCAAAGCCCAAGGGGTTCCAAAGCTCTTTTAGGGCTCTCATAAAATTAAACAGTTTTCACAATAATACTAAATCATTGACTCTTCACTCTCATTCTCAAGCATGTGTAGTAGATTTTATTTTTTTCAGTACTGGGGATTGAAACCAGGGCCTTTTAACTGAGCTACATCCTCCAGCCTTTTTTTGGTACTGGGGATCGAACTCTGGTCCTTGCACTTGCGCAGCAGGCAGCAAAACCGCTGAGCTAAATTCCCAGCCCAAGGATATTTTTTTTTTTTTGGTACCGGGGATCAAACTCAGGACCTTGTGCTTTTGAGGCAGGAGCTGGAACCAATGAGCTAAATCTCCAGCCCTTCCTCCAGCCTTTTTTTACTTTTTATTTTGAGACAGGGCTTTGCTAGGTTGCTAAGTTGCCCAGGCTGGGCTTAAACTTGTGGTCCTCCTGCCTCAGCCTCCCAGAATGCTGGGATGACAGATGTGCACCACCATGCCTGGCTTGGTAGAAATTTTCTGAATGCTACTTGACCCATCTTATACTGCAAGAGATAGAATACAGAAAAGATGTGAAATACCACCTATGTTACATCAAAAAGCTAAACTAGGGCTGGGGATTTAGCTCAGTGGTTCCACTGCCTGCCTTGCAAGCACAAGGTCCTGAGTTCGATCCCCGGTTACCAAAAAAAAAAAAAAAAGCTAGACTAAAGAAATTTGCAAAAAGAAAGATGCCATTAATTTTTCAGTTTTGAAAAATATAGTTTTTTGATAAAATATTATTGAACTAATTTAGTCTTGTTTATTTATTTATTTATTTTGTAGCAGGGATCAAACTCAGGACCTTATGCTTACCAGGCAGGCACAGTGCCACTGAGCTAAATCCTGGGTCTTTACTCTTTTTTTTTTTTTTAAGAGAAGGAAAATTTATTGGAGAATAGGAATGGGAAATAAGGATAGCTCCTGGGAGTCAGGAGGGGTCCCAAATGGGTTGCCCAGCTATATATATATATTTTGTGTGTGTGTGTGTGTGTGTGTGTGTGTGAGTGTGTGTGTCTACCGGGGATCAAACTCGGGACCTTGTGCTTTCGAAGCAGGCAGTAGAACCACTGAGCTAAATCCCCGGCCCTCCTTTACTCTTATTTTTATAATGAGTTGGGAAACACTTTTTAGGTTGCAGCTCCGCACTCCAATGGTTTTCTGACTTTTTGTTTTTCTTTGGTAGCCGGGATCGAACTCAGGTCCTTGCATTTTCAAGCAGGCAGTGGAACCACTGAGCTAAATCCCCAGCCCCTGGGAAGCACTTTTTACATCTCTCAATTTTAACTTCTAACATAATAATGTTAGATAACTGTAATCCACATGAGCAAAAGCTCTTTATACTCTTTTAAAAGTATAAAGGCGTCCTAAGGACAAAGAGTCGGAGAAGCACTGCCCCAAACCATTCCCGCGCTCTCATCCAGCCCTGAGCTGTCTGAGGTAGGTACCCTTGTCATTTGTTCCAAGCTGTGTCGTGTGGCACTTGGCCCGCTAGAGTGTGAGTGGTATGAATACTGGACTCAGAACCAAGGCACTTGATTTCTAGCTCGGCTTCTTTGTCCCGGCCACCACAAAGTCAGAGTTAGAGACCTGCTGCCTCCCCAAGGGAGTTCCTTACTCACATTTGTCAGGTCCACTGAGTACTTGGCGCTCAGCTCTTCCAAGGTCAATTTGTGATCATTCTGAAGGGAGAATAGGGTCAGGGAGGCAGAAATGATGACCTCAGGCCCTTTGCAGGGAGAGGGGAAGCAGACAGGCCTGGCCCGAGTGTGGGGCCGAGGATGTGTTTAGAGGGTAGTCTGTTCTGGGTTCTCACCATGACCACCTCCTTCTTCAGTTCCTCTATGTCTTTCTTCTTTCTTTCCCTTTTCACCTTTATTTTCTTCTTCATTTTAGGCTCCCTTTTGGGTCTCCGGCTTGGATGCCAATCGTGGGGACTTACTTTCCCTCTTCTTCCTACATGCTCCATGGTTATCCTAGATATAGCTGGGCCAGCTCAGAGTGTGGGAAGAGAGCAGAGCAATGGGGAGCTGTGAAAGAGAAGTGGAGAGGCTGCATGTGTGGTGAGGAGAGGAAGAAGGAGCCAAGGAAGGGCTGCGGTGTAGGGTGTCAAGGGTAGAAGTGTGAAGGCGGGAGAGGCCTGAGTGGCTGGGGCAGAGTTGAGGAGAGGATGGAAAGGCAGGGGGAAAGGACAGGTGCAAGGCGGGGCCACCGCTGTGCCTGAGCACTGAAGATGCCCGTAATCCTCTGCAGGTGGCAGGTACAGCGAGAGCAGGGAGTGGGACTCAGTGTACTGGGAGCCCCCAGCCCCAGGCCTGCAGGTGTCCTGGCAATGGCCTGGGCCCAGCATCACAAAGGCCCCATGGACGTTCCGACCTGGAATCCACAGTGCTCCACCTTTGGGTCTGAGGATGCTTGGAGCAGGTTCTGCCCCAGGGAGTTTGGTTCTGAGAGCAAAACCAGAACACAGTCCTTGTGTGGCTTGGCATCTCCCAAGGCTTAGAAATGCCCCCAGATTGTTGGCTCAAAAAAATAAGGCAGGTGCTCTGCCTGTGTGTGCTTTTGCACACATTTTCAGCAACATTGAATGTGATCCTTTATTCGTGGAGTACGGCTAGTGCCATGGATCAGACCTTGGGCTTTGGAATCAATCCCAGCTTCTCTGCTTAGCAGCTGTGTGTCTTTGGACAACTTAACTAACTTCTCTGGGCCTTTCTTTTCTTTAAGGGGGGATACCAGCTACCTCAAAAAGTGGCAAGGGTAAGGATGAAAGAGATGCTTTTCACATGAAGCACAGTGTCTGGCACACAGGGTGATCAGGAAAGAGCTCGACTGCGTATCGGGAATTTTGTGTGTGGTTTACTGAGCAGGTTTTTTCCATGAGAGTAAAACTACAGTGTTCCCCGTGATAATGAACATTTCCTCATTTTAAAATGATACATTTATCTCTTTGACCTTCTTTGATATCTTGATAGATGTTTGACTTTATGTGTGTCTTGTGTACAAATTATTTTTTATCTCCTTCCAAAAAACATCTAAAGAAGTTGCATATTTCTATCAATCCTTCATTTATATATTTTTTAGTTATATGTATCACATACATTTTCCCTTTCCATTGTTTGGTATTTAATTGCATGCTTTTTAAGAAATATGACTGTGTCTGAAAACATCCATCTTGGTACTGATGCAATCTTCTTTCAAAATTCATAATGGGGCATGCCTGTAATCCCAGCACTTGGGAAGCTGAAGCAGGAGGATCACCGGAGTTCAAGGTCAGCCTGGGCTACATAGTGAGTTCAAGACCAGCCTGAATTACATAGCAAGACTCTATCTCAAAAAACAAAACAAAAACATAAAAAGAGACAAAATTCACAATGGGAAGGTTCTTTTCCCAGCTGAGATAAAGATTAGTTTGTTCCTTAATTGAGTGGAGTTTTCTTCTCTATTAGAAATATATTTTTTAAAACCCCTGAAAATCCCATTTCCCTCCCTCTGAACTTCTTGTGGCTAAAGTCACTGGCTGTTAATGTGCTGGCTATCCTTCCAGTCTTTTTTCTATGTTTAGACAAATGAGACCTAAAAGGAGATATGTTTTTAATTTTTATGCAAGCATTTGTTGTGGCAGATCAGAGCAGCTCGGTGCTATAGCCAAATGTTACAGTTCAGTGTTGCAGCCAAGTGCCACAGCTCTCAGGCACAGCTGATCTTTATAGCTCAGTGTGGCAGTTCTGGGTCACAGCTCTCATAATTTGAAGATTAGAGAATCTGATAGTCAGTAGAAGAGGTGGAGAAAAAACCTGAGTGCTTTACCAGAAATAAGAGCCTCCTTATATAGGGATCTACAGGGTAGGTGGGCATGCTCAGTGAAGGGGGGGGGTGGAGTTACAGAACACTCCTGAAGAAAAGGGGTGGAGCTACAGAACATTCCTGAAACACATGCCCGTCTGAGCATGCTCACTGAAGCAGGGGTGGAGTTACAGAACATTCCTGAAGCAGAGGGGTGAAGAACATTCCTGAGAGGGGGCAGAGCTTAACAGAGACTTCTTGTGAGGGGACAGAGTTTAACAGAACATTCCTGAAAGGTCAAACTGTCACAAATCATTTTGATACATTGGGCAGGAGCCCAGTAACACAAATTTACATTTCTGACACAAAACATTCTGTGTAAAAAAAAATGGAGGTATAGCAAAGTCCTGTCTTATTGTATACCACTTCTCTATCATATTAAGTTCTCCTTTCATTTATCCACCTGTCAGGTACCTAAAGCCTATCTTTTCAATGTGGCAAGGCATTCCCTATTCTTCACTGACCATGGCCTGCTCAATCATCTCCATTACTCATGGATGCACAAGAGATTTCCCTTTTTTTTTTTAGCCATTAAAAGCAATGCTGCCATAACATCCTTCCCATAGGTACCTTCAGCCTCTATTTCTGTAGAATTGATTTTTGCTGCTGAATCATAGGGCACACTCATTTAAAAATCTTAAAATATTCTGCCAACTGCCTCTTAAAAGGGCTTTACTTGTCTGGATCTCAGCAACCAGATGCAAGAATGTCCATTCTCCACGTTGGATGACCTTGATCTATTATAATTAGCCAGATCTGCTATCTTGTAGTTTTAATTCACATTTCTTTATTGTCTATGTGAGCATTTTCTTTCTATGTTTATTGGTTTTCTCGATTCCCTTTCTTGTGAATTGTTGTTTTTACCATTTGCCCAATATTCCATTGTTTTCTTTTTTAATTGTTTTGTCATATACATTACAAATGTTTCCAATGGTCTTTTTGTTGAATGTCCATCATAAAGTCCTTAAGAGCAAGGTTAGAGTAAAAGTCAAAATTGCTAAGTTCATCTTTGTATGACCTCTGCAGCAATACTTAGCCTTGCACATGGGAAATTACCAGGGGCAACTTTATGGACCTACAATCCCTAGGAATTATTTTTGGAAAATCTATTCTGATATAGATCTTAGCTCAAAAGTTCACCTCACAGAGATCTTCTTTAGTAGTCACATTCAAAAGAGCCCCTCTGGCCCGAGCCCTCTACCCATCACTGTGCATCACTTTTCATCCTGTGAGATCATCCTGCACATTTAGCTGTTGAATTTGCTAATTGCCTAGTTCTCCGGGACCTTTCTGGGCTTTTTCATGTCTAAATACCCAGCTCCTGAAATAGTGCCTGCTCACAAATAGTTCCTGATCTGGCGTTGAATGCGTGATGAGTTTTCAGATTTCATCTTCATTTTATAAGATTTCGATAGTAAAGCCTGATGTGTTTTAACTTTGACGTTGGTCTGATGTGTTTTAAAATCTGTTGGGGTTGGGCCAGGGATTTAGCTCAGTGGTTTCGTCACCTGCTGCGCAAGTGCAAGGACCTGAGTTCGATCCCCGGTACCAAAAAAAACCAAAAACAAAATCTGTTGGGCTCAATATGCTAGCGTTATAGTTATCTGTTCATTTATTTCATTATTACCTATTTTTAAAACTCAGATTCTTGCCTAATTTCTCTGGCAGCGGAATGTCACAACCATAACAAGTATAGTGAGATTTCAATTGAGATAGAATTGACTCTTTTATACTCACTTATCTTTATCTTTACTACATTCTGTCTTCCCAAACAGGAGTCAAGTTTAGCTCTCATGTATCCAAGTTTTTATTTCTCTCATTCTGTTTTTGAATTTTCTCTAATAAATACCATATGCTGCACACACTCAATCTTGAGTGTAATTTGTTTTGGTTCTGTTGTAAATAGAAGCTCTTTGTGTTGTATTTGTTCTCTGATATTTGAGGATAAATATTAGCTGTTTAAAAACTGATCTGTTTGTATCCTATGACTTTGAATTTAATACTGCCAGGTTTTTTGTCTTGGTTGCTATGAATTTGTTTTGGTTGGTTTCCTTGGATTTTGTTAGTGGTCCTGTCCTTTACAAAAAATAATGCTTTTATGGATTTCAGTTTGTCTCTTTATGTTGAACTTTTAAATGCTAACTCCTTATCTGAGATTTCAAATGTTGTTGCTATCATTTTTATTGTAGTGGCTGATATTTATTATTAGTGTTCTAGACTTCATCTCTTCCTTTCTTCTCCGAACACGATTACATTTTCCAGGATGCTTTTTTCTTCCAGTGTTTGAATCAGGAATAGTTGTTGAGTTTCACTGGCAGCCTTCTCAGTATCATTGGGAATGATTAATCATTTTTCTTGTCAATGACAGTTGTTAGTAACATTTTTCTTGTAATACATTATCCCTGCAGGCCACAGCTTGGTGGTAGTTATTATGGTATTATGAAATTTTATCAAAATGCTACTTGTCTCATAAGAGGCACATTCTGTTCTGTATTCTAATGCTGTTTAAATAATATAGGGATATTCTTTGAAGAATTTGGGGGAAAATCTTCATTGAATTCACTGGGACCAATATTTTGTTGTTGTTGTTGTTGTTGTTTTTGGCAGTAGTAGGGATCAAACCCCGGGCCTTGGACATTCTAAGCTCTACCATGGAGCTACATCCTTAGCCCTCGAGGATGTTTTTGGAAAACTCATCTTGTATTAAATGTCTTTCTTTGATGTTGATCTAATCACATTCTTACTATTTTTTGCTGTGCTCTTAGCATTTCAAATATTCAGCTTGTCATCTGTTTCTGATGAATTATCATATTTTCTATTCTGTAGATAAAAAGGAAATGCCATGGGAAGTATTTCTCCCTGGGTCAGAGGTTGGCTTTACCTTTGAACACTACCACCAATTCTTGCATTTCTTTGCTAAGATGGTCTAGTTGAGTCTCTTTGCAGCTTTTTTTCTTACTCCCCTACTGCATCTTTAAGATCAGGACTTCTCCTTTCCCCTGAGTCTCTCCAGTCCCTACTGCCCAAATGGTCATGGCCCACAAACTCCTGGTTTCTTTCACAGCCTCCGTGCTTCGCTACACCACTAGGCTGTTCAGGCCCGGCCCGCGTATGGCATGGTGGCTCAGAGTCTGGTCCTGGAACCAGACGGGCCCAGCTCTGAATCTCACTTCTCATGCTTCCTTCGAGACTCCGAACACATAATTTAATCTTTCTGTGTCTCCGTATTCTCATCTATAAATTGGACATAATAATAGTCTCTGTCTTACTGGACTGTCATGAGAATTCTTTCAGCCATCCCACAAATATTTATTCATTGCTTGATCTGCGTCAGACATTGTTTTAGGTGTTTAAGAATAAAGGTGGTGAACAAAAAACAAGCTCAGTTTTCATGGAACTGATTCTCAAGGAGTCATACAAACAAAATAAATAAACAAATAAACAAGGAGACAAAACATTTTTGTAGTGCTAAGGATCAAGCTCAGGGCCTCACACATGCCAGGCAAGTGCTCTACCACTGAGCTACACCCTCAGTCCTATACGTATATTTCTATTAACTATCTAAACTTGAGGTCGTATTTGTAAATTAAAACAAAGAGAATGGAGAAGGAGGTATCAGGAGTGTTACTTTATTTGAGGCAGTTGTGAGGGCCGTTCTGAGGAAGTAGTGTCTAAGGAGTATCTGAATTGAAGAGAGGATGGGGTGTTACTGCCAGAGAATTCAAGAACAAAGACCCTAGGCAAGATTAAAGGGAATTCTAATCAGTTCCCTGTAATCAAACATTTTACACATAGAAGTTGGACATAGTTATAGTACAAAGCGAGCTGGCGTTTCTGCTCCTACAGTCACTGTAATGACAACTGCCATCACCACCCCTGGTAGAGTTATAATAAAAGGGTCAAAATGCTGCTATTGCAAGAAATAACTCCTGTTCTGCTGAGATGCTAGTGTAGGACCCCAGAGCTGCCGTGAGTGCTGTTATCTCCCTGTCTCTCATTCCCAGGGTCCCTGCCGTTGTCTACTCCTCCCTCTACAGTACCCAAGTGTCCCTCCCTACTGCCCATCACATCCTGCCCAGGAAGGTTACCAATGTTTGCTACTCAGGTGAATTTCAAAGCTGCTTCCACTTTACCCTCATCACTTAAAGATGACACCTGGAACAGGAATCTGCATACAGTATTGACTGTTAATCGGTGCTATCAGGCTTCTCCATCCACCACCTCCTTCCCCTGCCCTGTCAGGCTGAGCACGCCCTGATTTTGGTTTGGAACAGAAAAAGCAGAAGTGGCTTCCTGTAGATTCACAGGCTCTTTGCTGTCATTGGACATGCCTTTGTGGTTCTTGGGGTGGGATTGGCCAGGAGAAAGGTGTCTCCTGCTATATTTTCTTCTAGGTTATTTTGCAATTTAACTTCTCTTCTAGCTTTCTCCACTAGCACCATCTGCTCCCAGATTATTTCCTTCCTATCACTGACCCTTGTGGTCTCTTTGTTACTCTCTCTATAATCCAACTCCTGCCACAGCACATATTTCAATATCGCAGTTTAAGAGGGAGGCAAAGATGAATTACAGAAAGCAATAATGAAAGAAATGTCTTTTTTCATAAAGAAATGCAACTTTATTATTCTCAAGTACACATGTAGTGCCTCAAACTAATGTCTTACAAAAGGTCACCAGTAAAGACCCTGCTGTAGATGTTTCTTTAACAAATATGTCCCGAATGATGATAATTAGCCCATGCATTTGCTCCTTCTAAACAGATATTCCTAAAGTGCCTGAAAAGTATTGTTTTAGGTAGGCTAAATATGTCACTCCTAGCAATATTGCTTATGTTCTTAATTTACTAAACCAAAGCAGTTTTTACTGATTGTGTAAAGATGAACGTTTTCCCACAGTCAATAATTGCAAATTAATCAGGCTCAAATAAATATGGTATCCCATTTAGATTTACAACCCAAGGCAATGACTCACTTATTTCAAGGTACTTCTGATGAAGCAAAATTCCAGTGCAATGAAATAATAGCCATTGGGAGGCTGTTGCTGGGTCTGACCTAGTGTGTGTCTCTTGGGCTTCCTTCCTTTCTGCCTTAGGCTGCCCATTTTCCTCAGCGTCTCTTGCTAGCTTGACTCAACTAGGTCTCTTTGTGCAGGACATTCTCAGTGCCTTCTAAGCCAGGCTGAGAATAGGCAGAACTGCCTGCAGAGCAAAGTTGAGAGATGGGGAGGGAAGAAAATGAGGACAAGTATCTGCCATAGGAACCTGAAACCAACTCCCTATGTGAGGGAAAGTGGGCACTATGATCATCAGTGTGAAGGGCACTTGCCTGGCAGGAGTGGCCCTGCCATCTGAGTGGTCAAAGGCAGGTCTCTGAATATGTTCCCTATTATTGTCCAAGGGCTCAGACCATGTCATGGCCTAAGCTGATTGTGCATGTCCCTAGAAGATAGGAATGTTCCGGGAACTTCTCCACCCCAATTCCAGTCAGTGGCCAGGGAACTTCTTTTCCAGGGCTGTCTTGGCAGTGCCAGGAATGATGCAGGTTCATTGTGATGGGCATAAAGAGGAAGGGGTTCTGGGAGAGAACTGGCAGCTATATGTGGTCTCCGAACAACATGGAGTGTCCAAGGACCCAGCCTTGGAAAAGGTAGGGTATTGTTAAGCATGTGTGGTTGAGATGGCTGGAACTTCTGTGACATCCATCCCCATGGACCAAGAGGACAGCTAGTCAAGGGCCAGTGGGGCACTAAGAGGCACACAGCGTGGCTCTGTGCAGCTCCCCCAGTTGCCTCCTGGTCATGTCTCTGCTGCGATGTGAATTTGATCTTCTGATCAAACTCTGATGAGATGTGAATTTGATTTTCCAGTAGGGTATCAAAAAGGGTAGGACACGGGGCTGGAGCCCATCCCATCTACGTGGAGACTCAAGACTTTTCCAACCTCTGTCTGGTCACTGGCACCATTGCTGTCCTTTTCTGCTTCTACTCCTTTGCTGTCCCTCTCTTCCAGCCAGCATCCCAACCTCCCACCCATCTCTCCTCTCCAGGTGCCTGAGCAGCCTTGAGTGGCAGACAGCCTGGCCTCTCCAGCCAGCTACCCATTCTGGTCTCAGGCTCTTGCACTCATGGAGGTGCCTCTGTGACTTCAAGGTCTGAGGGGGAAGCAAAGGGGACAGAGCCAGGCAGAAAGCTAAAGGGGGGTGTGTGTGAGCAAAAAGAGGAGACATGAAGGGCTCCTTGGTGATCTGAGAATTTACTTCTCTGCATTAGACAGGTCCCAGCCTTTGGATGTTGATCTGTTTCAACAGGAGGTGGGAGTGAAGGCATAGGCCATGGGGAGAGCTGGGGCAACTCTCAATTCCTTGGAAAAATAGACAACATTGCGGAGTGGGATGGAAAAGAATCTGGGTCTGACGCAAGTATTCACAGTTACAACTAGGAGCCAACACTGGGAGCCTACTTACCTACTCCTGCCAACTTAGCCTGCTGAGCTGTCTCATTCTTTCTCCTCAAATCTTCCCCTGAAATATTTTTCCATCCCTCCCCTTCACCATCCCTGCAACACCTCCAGAGCACCCCATCTCTCCCGTGCCTGGTCCTTCTTCCAGAGGCTCAGTAATATGTCTCCTTCTCCACCCAGCCTGTTAGAGAGATTGGGGAAAAGGATGCAACATGAGCTCAAAAGGAAGTAAGAGATGTCTCTCAGGGGCTTGGGTAGCTGAGGCCAGGTGGAAGGAGGGGCCTGCTGAAGAAGCTGCTGGAGGGAAGGGAGGGAGAAGAGCCAGTAGCCAGGAAGGGAGAGGGCGGGCTGCCTTGAGGAGACTCATGCATTTAGCATTTAGGGAGGGAGAGTGGGCTAGAGCAGATGAGGTTGAAGTGCAAATGCCTGCAGGTAAGCAGCGCATGTCTAAGAAGGCAGCTGTCCACTGGTGGGGTGAAGAAATGTGGCCATGAGCTTTGACAACTCTCAGTTTTTCAGAAGTCAGAAATTCGGATTTTATCTGAAAATCCCTAAGTTTTAGATATTCGGCCAATTAAAAGACATACACACAAATATTGGGCATACCAAACAAAACACTACCTATGGGCCATGTTTGGTTTGATTTGTAGGCCAACCATTGTTAACCCAGTAAGAGATCAAAAATGCTTGCTGGAAAAAAACAAAACAACTTGTTGGTTGGTCCCTGGGAATCAGCGGGCCTGGGTTCTAGGGCCAGCTCTGCTATTCCTTGTTTTAAGACCCTGAGCAAATAAATTCACCTCTGTGCCTCCTCTCCTTATCTGTAACATGTGGAAGTGACTGGATGACCTCAAAGGGGCTTCCTAATTCTAATGATCAGTGATGGGCGTGCTCGGAGAACCCCAGTAAGTTAGGTGGGATGTAGAATCTGAGAGGAAGACGGCAGGGTGGCAGGTTCCAGAGAGTGGGGGCTCCTGGGACCTGGGACCCCAGGATCTGAGGGCTCCAGGAGCAAGGGTGCCTAGTGGGTGTGAAGTGTGGCTGGAGCCCTGGAGGAGCAGCCTGCTGTGGGCGCTGGACTTTGGTGGGGTTGGGGTGGGTGTGGGGTGCTTACCCCCAGGATATCGCCGCAGGATGAGCTTTCGGACCTCATCATAGATGAAGATGAGAAGACTGTAGGGAAAGGCACAGAACCACCAAGTGACCCTGAAGGCAACAGAGGAAGGTGTCAGGAGCATCAGAGGTTGGCACAGGTCACACAAAGTAGGATTCAAATGCATCAGGCCTGGATCCCAGAGGGGGCTCAAGGCGCCTCTGCCACTCACTCGGCACCCAAAGACTCACTTGAGCGGGTACATGCGCAGGGCCACGCCCATGCCCGGGCAGTAAGAGAGAAAGGCAGCCAACGCCGTCTCCTCCAGGAGCCCGAAAATCAGGATCTTGTTCCTGGAAAGACCAGAAAGGAGGGTAGGTAGCATTTGAAGGGGAGCTGGGGGGAGTGACCCAGGGACACCCTGGGAGCAGAAAGAGGAGAGAAGACAGGTGAAGGAAGGTTACACATGACATCTTCCTGTGTCCTCTTCAGACATCTTCTTCTCGAGCTTTGTGTAACCAAAAAAAGATGTTTTTTTTTTCCTGCTGATTGATTGTCGTCTATTGCACATACATTCATTCATTAAATAATTATGTGGGGTGATGTGTTCTGTGCTGGAGATGCAGTGGTCAACAAAGGGCCTGCCCTCAGGAAGTTATAATCTTCTTATTGCTCCAGGAACATAGCCTGGGAAGGTGTTGTCTCCTCAGCAAGATGCTTTTTTTTTTGCTGGTACCAGGGCCTTTGCACTGAGTTACATCCTCAGACTCTCTCTCTCTCTCTCTCCTTTCCTTCCTTCCTTCCTTCTTTCTTTTCTCTCAAGACTGGATTTTGCTAAGTTGCCCAGGCTGGGTTTGAACTTGCAATCCTCCTGCCTCAGCCTCCCAGAGTGCTGGGGTTATAGGCCTGCACCATCACACCTGGCTCCTAGCAAGATACTTTGAAAGCTCCTTCAGTGCAGAGCCCAGGCCTGCCTCATGCTTTCTCAGCATCTCCCATAGGCCCTGGTGGTTGTTCACCATAGGTGTGCAGTGGAGGATGTTTGTAAGCCCTTACCCTGTGGGTGCTGCTACATGTAGTAATGGGAAACGCACGGCACTACCTCAGAAACTGAGAGGAGGATAAGGTTCAGGAGGATCAGACACAGGCGATCTGTCCCAGCTCTGCCCTTTCCTGGCCTTGGGTGGTAAACAAGGTTTGACTTTTCTGAGCTTTGTTTCTTTCTCTGTAAAATAAATTTTACCTTTATATCATGGAGTTGCCAGGGAAATTATGGAAACTATTGCAGGAAAGCTCTGGAACATGGGACGTGCTCAGTGACATTGTTACTGAACCCTTGGCAGTCTTGTGAAGGGCACCTTTTTATGGCTTAGATCATGGTTCCCCAAGTTTTCACCTACTAAAGACTCTCTTGCTTTTCTTTCATAAAGGCCACATTTTAATTGGTTTTGTCTCTCAAGCTGCATTTGTTAATAAGTAGTGAGTACATTTCCCCTTTTATTATTTTATTTTATTTTGGTTTTTGAGACAGTCTCATTATGTAGTTCAGGCTGACCTTAAACTCACCATGTAGTCCAGGCTGGCCTCGAACTCACGGCAATCCTCTTGCCTCAACCTCCTGAGTGCTGGGATTACAGGCATGTGCCATCAGGCCCAGCCATTTCCCCTTTTAAAATTTAGTTTTTAAATTCATGGCTTCCAAAGAGAACTGTGGGCTAACATGTAGTCACTACGTCAGGATATGTTTTCTTGGCTTTCACCCAAGAACAACCTGTTAGCAAGCTCCCTTCTCATAGGCGAGTGGTCAGCAAGCATTTTGAAATAATCCAGACAGCATCCCTGAGAAGCCCATGGTGCCAGGGACCTGTGGGGAGGCTGAAGTATCCTGAGGCTGCCTCTGACCAGGCAGTGTGTTGCTGTTACTACTCCTTCCCTGGACCCCGCTGGACTTCTACTGTGTTACTTTCCATTTGTCTCTCAGATGGCTGTACCTGGTCAGTTTATCTGTTCTCACCTTCCTATGGTACCTAATGTAAGTCCCAGCCCCCAGGACTGTACCCAGTTTCTTGGACTCTCTGGGACAAAACTCACTTGGGGAATTGCGACCACTGTTTACAGGAGGAGAAAATGAAGAGAAGCAGACTGACATCTTCAGCCTCAACACCCATCCATGCTAGAATCATAAGTTATTGCATTCTTACAGGTGCTAGACTCTGTGGCAGGTGAGCCACTGAAATGCAAGGTGTACCTTGGACACAGGCTGCTGGACCCTTACCAGCTGGGTAACCTTAGGCACCGAGTTATTTAACCTTTTGGAGACCGATTGTGATGCAGTATAAACAACAACATCCACTTCATTGAGCTATTGTAAGGCTAAAGAGTATGTGTGGTACTTATTGCAGTGGTCGGCACATGGTGACTCATGGTGTGTAACACACGTGACCCCAGGCAGCTCATGGTGCCCAGGTGGATGCTGGCACTGCAGGGCGTGCATCGCTGTGCACCAGGCTACCTGCTGAATGGGGTGGGGGGCATGGGAGAGCCTGGGCACAGGGCTGGACAGAGGACTTGAGCAAGAGAAGGAGGAAAAAAGGGAGGAAGGAAGGAGGGAAGAAAGGAAGGATGGAGAGAAGAGGTAAACGAAGGCAGGTGGAAGAGATTATGAAGTACACTTTGGGGGTAAAATTAGGACTCGTTGGAAATAGTCCCATCATTTCTTCCTCATCTTTTTGTCTAGTTCAAACCTGGCTAGAGATAAACATCCTGGTGATTAAAATTCATTGCCGCCTCGGCAGACCTGGGCCCAGGGTGGCTGTGACCTGACCTGGGAAGCCTGGCCTGTGTGGGTTGGTGGCTGTGCCCAGAGCGCCCTGCCGGGGTGGCTGGTGCTCACTTCATGCCCTGCTGGAAGACAGAGTTGCGGCGGGTCTTGCAGATGATGAGGTCAGCCCACTGCACCACCACGATGCTGGCAAAGAAGGCCGTGTGGCACGTGAACTCCACCACCTTCCGCTGCTCGTAGGTCTGGGGAGGGCGGGCGGAGCACAGCCAGTGTCAGAGGATGGGAAGGACCGGGGTACAGCAGCCCACCCCCAGTCCTAGCTGTCTCCCTCTCTGTTCATGCACTGCCACAGGCCACTTACCCACTCCTGTCCGTAGCTGTCCTCCAGGTCATTTGTGGACCGGTCGTCCCAGTCGAGCCGGATTCCCAGCAGCCTTGATGGCAGAAAACCATTCTCTGCCAGGATCACAAAGTAGGTGAAGAAGCCCCCCAGAGCCTGGATCATCCCTGTGGGTGGTGGGCAAAAAAGGGCAGGGCTGGGGTGAGAGGAGAAACAGGAAGGGCCGGCACCTGAGGGCCGGAGACAGAAGTTTCCAGCCCTCAGGGACCTGACCGGGGTCCCAGAACTTGGCTTAGGCCCCTTCCTCCAGAGCCCTGGGGAGAGAAGCCTTGGAGTCCCCTCCCCAGCCCTAGGCCAGCGCACCAATCTGTCCGTAGGCCATGCTGATCAGCCGCTCGTTCACAAGCTTATCTGTTTGGGGGTTTCGTGGCTGTCGCTTCATGATGTCACTCTCAGCTGCTTCATAGGCCAAGGAGATGGCAGGGACCTGTGTGGCAGGACATGGGGAAGGAGGGCATTCCAGGGATGTGGGAGACAACAGGACAGTAGCTGACTGGCGGTGAAGACTGACGGGGACTGAACCCGGGACTTTAGCACTAAGCTACATCCCAGCCCTTTATTTTATTTTATTTTATTTTATTTTTTTGGTACCAGGGATCGAACTTGGGTCCTTGCGCTTGCAAGGCAGGCGGCAGAACCACTAAGCTAATCCCCGGCCCATCCCAGCCCTTTATTAATTTATTTTTTGTTTGTTTGGCTGTTTTTTTGAGACAAGGTCTCGCTCTGTAGCCCAGGCTGGCCATGAACGCATGGCAATCCTCCTGCCTCAGCCTCCCAACTTCTGGGATTACAGGAGTGTGCCACCGTGTCTGGCCCTTTTTTATTTTTATTTTGAGACAGGGTCTTGGTAAATTGCTAAGTTGCCCAGGCTCAAACTTTCCATCCTCCTGCCTCAGCCTCTTGAGTGCCAGGTTACGGGCATGCGCTACCACCCCAGGCCTATAAAGAATCTTTGACACAATCCTATGATCCTCTGGGCCTTGCTCATCTCTGCTCCACTGCCCAGATGAGCTGCCTTCACCCACTGGTCTGCATGGCTGCCCTGCCGGCCCTCTGTGCTCACCATGTCCGTGCCCAGGTCAATACAGAGGATGGTCACGGTGCCCAGGGGGAGCGGGATGTTGGCGATGATGAACAGCAGGAAGGGGGTGATCTCAGGGATGTTGCTTGTCAGGGTGTACGCGATGGATTTCTTCAAGTTGTCAAAGATCAGGCGGCCTGTGGGGGCAGCATCAGGGGAGCTAGAGGGGCCCTCCCCACCCGAGCCTGGAGGTGTGGCTGCCCGTATTCCTGCAGGAGGAAGGTTTATGTCGGAGAGGAGCTAGCACAGGCTGGGGCTGCCTGGAATCCTGAGTTGAGTCCTGCATGGGGGTGAAAAGTTGCAAAGCAGAGTCCTGGCTTCCCATGCGCCATCCAGGCCCGTGCAGCCTCCTCACCCTCCTCCACGCCTGTGACGATGGAGGCAAAGTTGTCATCTAGCAGGATCATGTCGGCTGCCTGCTTGGAGACGTCAGAGCCGGAGATGCCCATGGCAATGCCGATGTCGGCCTTCTTCAGCGCAGGTGAGTCATTCACCCCGTCCCCCGTCACCGCCACAATGGCTCCCTGGGGAGAAGACACCACCGGCGCTGGAGGACAGGCTGCCTGGCTCCTGGCTTCGCCGGCCCCGTCACCCACCACCGCTGCCTTGCTCACCTGCCTCTGACAGCCCTCTACAATGATGAGCTTCTGCTGTGGGGAGGTCCGGGCAAACACAATCTCCGTGTGGTCCCTGAGGATCTCGTCCAGCTGCTCCGACGTCATGTCCTTCAGGTCCGAGCCGTGCACCACACATGCCTTGGCTTCTCTGGAGGGTGGGGCAGCGCAGCTGACTGCCTGAGCCTGGGCCTGTCCCGCTGCTTCCTGGCTCCCGCAGCCCCCTTGCCAAGTAGAGCCCCCCCATTGCTTCCCTGCTCCTCCCCCTTGATGCTCAGTTTCCCCATTTCTCTTGGCTGAGGTGACACTAACCCTCACCACTCGGCACCTGGGGGTATAGGTAGTTTGCTAGGTCACCCTAACTTTGTAGTTACAAAGATGAAGGTTTGGGAGGGTACAGTGACGCCTCCAAGGTTACATAGCTCATCAGTGGTGCCGCTTGGACACACGCTCAGAACTGAGGAATCAGTCACAAAGGTGTCAGAGGTAAGGCCGTAATCTAAAAGCCAGAGGTGTTGCCCAACAGCCTCAGGGATGTGTTGATCAGGTGCAAGGGGCTCCCGAAAGGGCCTCACCTGGGGTTGACTTGGCTCACAGGAATGTTGAGCCGTGCTGCAATGTCCTCCACAGTCTCATTACCCTCGGATATGATGCCCACACCTTTGGCAATTGCCTTGGCAGTGATAGGGTGGTCCCCGGTCACCATGATCACCTGGTGCAAAGGTGGAAAGAGGAAAGAGAGCAGCATTGAGAATTCCCCCCTCTTATTCCTTTTCCCAAACCAGGTAAAGCTAGATTGCTAGATGTCCTAGGCTGGTAGATCCCAGCCTAATAATGGTGTGTGTGTGTGTGTGTGTGTGTGTGTGTGTGTGTGTGTGTGTGTGTGTTTGGTAGAGGGATGATGACCAGTTGTGTTGTGTTGAGTTTGATTAAGTGGAGAGAAACACCCACATCAGAGTGACAAGCTAATGGGACCCCTTGGGAGAGAAGTCTCCACTCATTAGGATTGTTTAGGAGATGTTTCAGGAGTTTGGATTTCATGGAATATGAGGCAGCCAGAGCTGGAAGGATGGTTCCTTTAATGAATTTCTCATTATACAGATGAGAAAATCGAGGCTTCATGAGAATCCATGATTTCCTCAAAGCCCCAGGGACTCAGAACTGGGGCATGATTTACTTAGTGTTCAATATGATCACTGCATCTGTGTAATTAGTCAGACCCAAGTGGGGCTAAGACGGAGACAGCCCCTTGCCACTGCCCTTCCTCATCTGCCTCTGATCGGCATTGGAAGAAGGTAAGTCCTGCCCTGGCCCCGATAATATTCACTGGTACTGGGGAATAGGTAGAGTGGGACGGGGGGGTGGGGTGGCTGGCAGCCGACAGGCCAGTTAAGAGGTTGTTAGTGTCTTGCAAGCGCAAGGTCCTGAGTTCGATCCCCGGTACAAAAATTTTAAAAAGAGGCTGTTAGTGTAAAGTGAGCAAAGCTGGGCTAGGATGGTGTTCACATGTGTAATGTGTGGGAAGAATCCCAGAGATCCTGAGAGGGAGGCTCTTCAGGTCCCACAGCCTTCTCTCCCACCCCCACAACGCTCCAGGCCCCTTGGCTCCCAAAGAAGTACAAGAGCCTCTCTGCAATCCTCGACCCCATGACCCCTCCATCTGAGGCATTCAGGCTGGCTGCCACCCCTGGAAGCCCTACGCTCCCTTGGCCTGCACCCTCCTTCATTCTTGGCTTCCCTCCATCCTCTGCACAGTCCTTCCAGCCTCCTCGGGTGGCAGTCCGGTAGAGTGGAAGAGCTGAACAGGGGACCTCAGTCTCAATGTTGGCCTCCAGCTGTAGGACCTTGGACACGTCAGCGCACCACGTCTCACACAATCTGAGCGGTGGTTCCCACCTTTCCAGGTCGTCATGGAGATTGAGTCCTTAGGCAGATGCCCAGCAAACCTCAGCTGTCCCACCTCCCTCTCCTCTCCTCACTGGCTCCTCTAATCTTTCTCTCCACTTGGTCTGGCCCAGGGTTTCATTCTCTGCCCTCTTTTTGTTATTTTTTTGTTTTTGTTTTTGTTTTTGGTACCGGGGATCAAACTTGGGTCCTTGTGCTTGCACAGCAGGCAGCGAAACCACTGAGCTAAATCCCCGGCCTATGCCCTCTTTTTGATTCAGTTCTCTTCCTGGGCAATATAAAATGTATCAGGAAGCCTTTAATTTGCACCTGTGTGCTACTGAGATTTAAATATCTATTGAGTTCTGAACCATATTCAGACTCTCCCTGGAATCCAGGGGTCCCCAACCCCCAGGCTGTGGACCGGTAGCAGCTCCTGTTAGGAGCCAGGCCACACAGCAGGAGTGAGCGGTGGGTGATCTAGAAGCCTCATTTGTCCCCATCACTGGCTTTACTGCCTGAGCTCCGCCTCCTGTCAGATTGGTAGCAGCATCAGATTCTCATAGGAGCAGGGACCCTCCTGTGAACTGTGCATTTGGGGGATCTTCCTTGCAGGTTCCTCCGAATCATCCTGAATCCACCAACACCTCCCCACCCCTCATCCCTCAGTCTGTGGAAAAATTGTCTTTCACAAAGCCCATCCCTAAGTGCTAAAAAGGTTGTAGACCACGGTTAGACACTTCAAACTTAAGGTCCAATTTCTCTCTGCTTCCACCACCTTCCCATGACTGCTTCTCTATTTCCTGCCTTAAATAATATCTTTTCTGCTCATTCTGTCCCTTCCACTACCTTATCTTCCTTGCCTCCCATGTCCAATTAGTCACCAGGTTCTCAAAACATTTCCAAATGCAGCTATTTCTCTCCATGGCTCTGTCCTAGTTCAGGCACCATCCCTCACCTAAACTATTGCATAGCCTCTAAACCTGCCTCCCTGGCTTTAGCTTCCCCCAGATGCAGTCCCTTCTTCATCCAGGAAGCCTCAAAGCTAGGCCTGTGACATCTGTGGCCCTCTGTGGCCCACAGGATGAAAGCCCTGGCAATTGTAGCATTTAAGCAATGTCTTTCCAACTGGCCTTGACCCAACATTTCAGGCTCTGTCCCCAGCGCTCCTGTGCATCTCTCCCCCACTGACTCACATGGCCTCCCACAGTGTAGCCTCGTCAGGGTACACACTGTTCCCTGGACTTGCCTGCCTCTCTCTCCCTCTCTCGCTGCCTTACAGAATACTGTTCAGCCTTCAATGCCCAGATCCAATATCATTCCCTCTGTCAAGCACCATCCAGTTCCCTGCGGCAGAATTAATTGCTCCGGGCTCCCAAGTCCCACAGAGTCCTTGCTCGTCCTCTGTTGAGAGCTCCCGTCACATCGAGAGGCTGTGCCCCAGAAAGAGCATGGGCTTCCGCACCAGCCAACCGTGCTCTGCATTGGTTCTACCTAGGGAAAACTATCTACTGGCTCTGAGTTTTCATTTCAGGTGGGAGGCATGATGTGTACTTCAGAGACTGAGTGGTTATGGGGTTCAGAATTCACACACACACAGGACCAAGTCCTCTGGTATGGTGGGTAAGGAATGGTTGCCTGACTGCCTTCAAATCCTGGCTCTGTTGTGAGGCCAGGGCATGATACTTTGTGCCTCAGTTTCCCTCTCTGAAAAAGGAAAAATATGACTGTAGCCAGAGGGCTGTTGAGATTAAATAAGATCGCAAAGGTTTAGCGATTAGCATGGTGCCTGATTTATGGAAAAGTTTCCCCCACAACAGACTGGGTTCAGAGTCTCTGACCCAGAGAAGGTGCCCAAGGACCCTGACTGTCGCACTTGTTCTGTGATGCCTGTAAAGGCATCTGTTCCCCGTGAAAGACCATGGGATGAGGAGGTCAGGCCCTGTGTGTTGTTCATCTTCGCACCCAAAGTGCTGAGCGCAAGACCTGGCGCTCATCACAGGCTGAACTGCATTGACTGGGAGCAGGTGACGGCATCACAATGCATGACCAGGAAAGGGGGGTGGCGAAGAGCTGCCCTGAGGACAGGAAAGTGAGCTCCAAGCCAGAAGGGAGCTTGATACACAGTTGGCAAACAATACACACGTGTTGAGTGAAGAACAAACTTGGCTCTGAGGAGGGAGAGGTCAGGAAGAAACTGTAGGTGAACCAGGAGCCTGGAGAGATGTGTTCAGGAGGGGCAGTCTGCAGGGTGATGGGGTGAGCGAGGGGGAGCAGGCAGAGGTATGTCGATCCCCCCAAATGGTCAGAGAGAGTGGGCAGCAGCTGGGAAGGATCAGACAACCCGGTCTCTGAGACAGGGTGCCAGATGGTACTTCAAATCAGAAGGGAAGGGTCACGTGCACCTGGGACAATAAGCTTGGCCAGGGAGACAGAACCGGACAGGGGAAGCTGACCACCCTGAGCTAAAGGGCAAGGGTGGTCTACTTTCCCTTGCAGATGGATGCTGTGTGCATGGGAGGAAGCCCCTGAGGGCCTGTGCCTCCCAGGGCAGTGGCTGTGGCAAGGCCTTGACTTTTGGCCCCAGGAAGATGAGGACAGAGGGGAGGAAGGGAGGCTGGTACCTTAATGCCCGCACTTCGGCACTTGCCCACAGCATCTGGCACAGCTGCCCGGGGTGGGTCAATCATAGACATGAGGCCCACAAAACAGAGCTTCTCTGTGGGAAAGTTCAGCTCATCTGTGTCAAATTTGAAGCCACGAGGAAACTTTCCAGAAGGCAAATTCAGGTGACAGAACCCTTGGTAGGAGGACAGAAGGGAGGAGTCAGCGAAGCGCAGTGGCTGCCTGGACACCTCTTGTCCCAGGAACACTGCAGAGGCGTGGCTCTGCTCCCTGCTCACCTAGCACACGCTCCCCCAGGCCTCCCAGCTCCATGTAGGCGTTCTGAAAGGCATCTTGCATCTCCTTGTCCAGGGGAATCTCCTTGCCCTGCACCAGAATGGTGGAGCACCGGTCCAGGATGCGCTCCGGAGCCCCCTTCATCACCAGCACGTGGCTCTGGGGGCTGTCTTCTCGCTCGTGGATGGACAGCTAGAGGGAGGAAAGGCAGTAACAGAGGGGCTGTTCTCTCCATGGCTCCAGTGCCCAACATATGGTCTGATACAGAGCAGCAGCTGGTAAAGACATCTCCCATAACAGACCTAACCCCACTCCACCAGAGACTGTCCATGAAGGGAGACTCTCCATGTGTGGAGGGGTGCTTGCTCATAGTGCCCATGTTGCAAGCTAAGAGTCACTTCCATAGGGCAGCCACTCCCTTAAAGCGCAGTTCTCCATATCAGTTAAGGCAGATGCAGGTGCCCGGATGGTCACATCCACCACCCCACGATGGCCCAGTGGTTTTCACCTCCATGGCTCACACAGAGCATGGCTAAGGCTGTTCTTGGCATTTAACGGGTTCCTAGAGGCCAAGGGATAGCATAAGGGCATTAGAGAAGTGGGCTTCTATTAAATGGAGTGCAGAGCTGGAGGACTGTGGCCAGTAGTAGGTGGGGAGCTATGGGAAGAAGAATTGAGAGGGTCACAGGATGCATGTAAGTTAGCAGGTGATGGTAACGAGACATGAAGTCAAACAAGCTGCCCTGGGATTGGAGTAGGAGTAAGAGGACAAGATCTGCAGGAGCTTCCATTAATTCCTTCTACTGATTCCTTTTGGCTTTGTCTACTTTCCTGCCTCCCATGCCCCCATTTGTTTCTTTCTCCTCCTCTGTTCCAGCCGCCCAACCAAACCTGGTACTTGTTGGTAGAGTTGAAAGGAATCTCTGCCACTTTGGGGTTTCTGTCCCTCATCTTCCTCACGGAGCCACAGGACAGCTCAATGCACTTGAGCAGAGCTGACTCAGAAGCATCACCAGCTGTGTCCCGCTGCCAGAAGGGAAGAGAACCCAGTATCACAGGGAGGGAGGGAAGGCAGTGGAGGATCAGGCGAGGAGGCACAGAAGCCCCAGGGAGCCCAAGGTGTGAGAGGGAGAGCAGGGAATCAGCATGAGGACTCTGAAGACCTCCCCCAAACACACCCGGGTGTGCGGGCTGACCCCTACCTTGGACACAGAGATGTTCTCCTGGCCAGCCTTGAAGACAGCTCGGTTGCAGAGACCAGCGATCCGAGACAGGGCTGTCCATGTAGGCGACCGTTTGTCAAAAGTGGCCCCTGGGAAGAGATGAGGGAGAACAGCAGCTTGGTGCCTGTTGAGAGCGCTTAACTCACCCCAGCCATGCTCAATGCCCCCTTAACCCCCTCAAATCCCCTTCACTCCCTCCGGAGCACACAATCACCAGACTGATCTTCAGTGGTGTCAGCCTCATGGATCTGGTTGTCAAACCACATGTGGGCGACAGTCATGCGGTTCTGGGTGAGGGTGCCCGTCTTGTCCGAGCAGATGGTGGATGTGGAGCCCAGCGTCTCCACCGCCTCCAGGTTCTTCACCAGGCAGTTCTTCCGCGCCATGCGCTTGGCTGTCAGCGTCAGGCACACCTGGTAGACAGAGAGGAGAATAAGAAGAAAAGGTTGAACCTGGAGCCGCGGATGCCCACGTCCTTACCCTAGACTGTAGCTAGACTTTACCCTAGACAGTGATGGTGAACCTTTTAGAGACCGAGTGCCCAAACTATAACCCAAAACTCACTTATGGTGAAGTGGCAACACTGCAATTAAACCTGAATACTGAGGTCTTCATTTATAAAAAACAAGTCATACAACCCGTAACACCGTCCTTGAGAGGCCTTTATGCGCTTGCTGTGGCACGCATGCCATAGGTTCTCCAGACTGTATTCCTCCTTAACTCTATCCCACTAACAGAATGGGTGGGATCTAGCAGTAAATAGTGAATTCATTCAACTTTGGATGTGTTCAGTTGACATCACAGGTGTATATTAAAGTTAAATGCTCAGCAGGGCACTGAAATATTGGCCTAAAACTCCAGAGAGGGTGCAGGGATGTGAGAGCTGTCCATAAAGAAGGGATTAGATGGGCTCATTCTAGGGGTATAAGGAGAAGGCAGAGAACGAAGCTGGAGAATGATATGTCACAGTCGCTGATGAAGAACAGAGTTCCAGGAAAGTGGACAGCAGTATCCATTTCAGCAGCAGAGTTAAGGATGGGAGCTGAGAGAAGGTCAGTGGATTTGCTAGTTAGTCACTGGTGACCTTTGAGAGAGCTTTTACAGACAGTTGGCCAGAATGAGCCCTGGTCTGCAGGGGTAGGGTTAGGGAGTGTGAGAACACAGATGGTGAGAAAAGGTGACCATGGTAAGTGCCAGAAAAACTGAGTGCCCAAGGCCAAGGATTTAGCTCAGTGGTTCCGGTGCCTGTCTTGTAAGCTAAAGGTCCAGAGTTTGATCCCTGGCACCAAAAAAAAAAAAAAAATCCAAACCCTGCGTGCCCAGATATAACCCAACTCAAGATTTTTCAGACTCAAACTCTGAGCTGAGTATTAAATGACTTCTGAGAATGGTACACACGTGATACGTGACTTTAGGAACCCAAAGGAAAAAATTGCTGAAAGACAATAAGCAGCTGTGCCTTTCTCCTTTGAAGGAAAGGGCAATAAGATCTGCCCCCCCGCCCCGTGGCACTTCAGCCTGATCCACTCACAGTGACAGTGGCCAGAAGCCCCTCAGGCACGTTGGCCACGATGATGCCAATGAGGAAGATGACAGCCTCCAGCCAGCTGTAGCCCAGGATGAGGGACAGCACGAAGAAGGAGACCCCCAGGAACACAGCCACCCCTGTGATCAGCTGGATGAAGTGCTCAATCTCCATGGCTATGGGTGTCCGCCCGACCTCTAGGCCCGAGGCGAGAGTGGCTATGCGGCCCATCACTGTCCGGTCGCCTGTGGCAATCACGATGCCTCTGGCAGTGCCTGCAGCAGAGGAAGGAACTCCAGGTTGGGTGTGCCAGGGATGCGAGGGACTAAAGTCTCATCCTCCTTTCTGAGCAAAGACTATCACAGAGAGAAGGGCTGAAGATTCAGATTCCTAGAGCCATGTTTAGTAGATTTTACTCTCCTGCATAGATCGCCAATCCCAGATGCAATACAGCTGGAAATTATTTTTTCCTGTACTTGGGCCTGAGGAGAAGTCTTGCCCACAATACTAAAGTTCAAATTGAGGAGCTCTAATAAATGAAATGAAAATTGCCTGTGGCATTTCAGTAAAATCAATCTCATACTTTATATTACAAACACAAAGAAAGCACTTATGGATTTTTTTGTGTATACCGTAGTCTTAAGATTTTATTCCTCAAAGTAAGGTATGAATCTCTATGAGAGAAGGTAAGCAATTACTAACCTTTGTGCTACATTACAGGGTTCTCTGGAAAAAGAAGTGTGTAGTAGAAAGAGCATACATGTTGGAGTCACCCAAATCTGAGTTTGAATTCCTATCTAGGGGTTCTTTTTTTAAAATTTTGTACCAGGGATCGAACTCAGGACCTTGCACTTTTGAGGCAGGCAGCAACACCACTGAGCTAAATCCCTGGCCCTACTAGGGGTTGTTCTAATAATTCAATGAGATTAATGCTATAATGTACATAGACCAGTGCCTGGCACATAGTAGACACTCAAAAAATGTTAGTTCCTTTCATTTCCTCTCTTCTCCTCTCTTCAGAGCCAGCTGCAGGAAAAGCAATGGAATATCTTTTTTTATTTTTTGGTACCAGGGATCGAACTCGGGATCTTGCGCTTGCGGGGCAGTCGCCGGAACCACTGAGCTAAATCCTCAGCCCCATCAATAGGAATATCTTACCAGCCATTTCTGAACAAATCAATTATAGGAAATGTAGTATCAATTTCAGAATGTCAGCGCATTAAAAATTTAGGAAATTTAATGTGTGGTGAGTTTCATTGTAATTCCAACTTGCTGAAGGACGAAAACAGCCCCAAAGAAAGAAACTGTGCTGAGGTGAAATGGGTGATGGGAAGAGAAGGCTGTGGAGTTGGGATCCAAGACCTCCTCTGCCCCACTTTCAGAGGCCCATGGTTCTAAGCAGGTCTCCCTCTCCTACTATCTCTTACCCCACTCCTCTGAGTCAGCCCAACATTGCTCACTGGCTGGATCACGGAAGCCATCAGGGTCATCTGTGCTTACACTTCTGCCTTTATGAGATGGAAGCTCAGGGAGTTCTTACTGACCTTTATCGTTCATATTTAGAACCCAGGACAGGAATGGAGCAACCCGAGCAGCCTTTGGTTTGACACAGGCCTCCATAAGTCCTCCTAAAGGAGGACCACGTGTTCATTTGGCCTGAAAGCTTTCCTGCCCTCCTCCAGCCTGAGCTCTGGTCAAAGGAAGTAACTCGGCTAGAACGACGAGGAGTAGAAGGCATCAGTTCAACTCAAAAGCTCCTAGGAATCAAGGTTGGTCTCAGACATCTGTGAGTGTGAGTGTGTGTGTGCGTGTGTGTGTGTGTGTGTGTGTGTGTGTGTGTAGGGGCATCTTCACCCAATCTCCGAGAGCCTTGGGGTGGAAAGAATGGAGCTTTTCCTGTGGGGAGGTGACTTTCCTAGAGGGTCATGGTTCCTCTCTCCAATGTGCTGCTTGCTTTCTGGAGGGGACTCTTTCCGTAATATTCGGGGTGCCCTATGTCTCCATGTCCTTCTCTGTGGCAGAGGTTTTGCCAAGTGAGACCGTCATAGCCCCCAATCCTGACTGAGGAGTCAACAGATTCAGCCTCTTTCCTCCACTGGCCAGGACGAGGAGATTCCCTGGCAGTCCACTTTCTCACCTTCCACGCAGTTGGTCGAGAAGAAACAGATATTTCGGGTCTCCAGGGGGTTCTCATGAGTGAACTCAGGGGAGCGGGTCTGGGGCTCCGACTCGCCTGTTAGGGATGAGTTATCCACCTGAGAAAGAAGGGGTGTGGAGTAATAGTCAGACAGCAAAAGCAACACAGTGCACAGAGCTGTCTCCTGGGCCAGGTCCAGCTAACCTCAATCTTCATGACACAAGGGACAAAATTACACTTGCCCTCATCACATATTTGTGGCATTACTCAGCTATTGCTCTTGCTCTGGTTTGGAATCTTGGCTCTTACTGACTTTTTGTGTGACTTTGGGTTATTTACTAAGGGAGCGTCCAGTTACTCATCTGTAAAATGGGGAACATAAACAAAGTCGCTGCACTGCACAATCCTAGGGGGCACCACTAACATTGTAGTCTATGGGAATGTATCTCTTGGGGCTGCTCAGGGCACCACCTGTGTGGCCACATGCAGCACCCTACATGATGATGACATTATTCTTTCCAGGGGAAATTGGATAGCACAAGGAAACATATATAAAACATCTGACACATAATTGGTGCTCAAGAGATAATTATGATAAGTGGCTATAAAAGAAATCCCCATGGGCCGAGGATTTAGCTCAGTGGTTCCGCCGCCTGCCTCGCAAGAGCAAGGACCCGAGTTCAATCCCCAATACCAAAAAAAAAAAAAAAAGAAAGAAATCCCCAGGGCATAGAGCATTCATAATGCAGAGATACAAGGAGACATGCACAACACCCCGAGCTGACAGAAGGTTCAGCTGGAGGGTGTGGAGAAGAGGAACTAGGTCTCCTAACTGCAATCTCTGAGGAGGGCTCTCTATGCTCTGTGTAGCCCACTTCTTAGACTCCACTTGCTGTGGCCTGATCTCCTCACCTTACAACCATGAGAGGAGATGATCCGGAGATCAGCAGGGACACGGTCTCCACCCTTCACCTCCACCAGGTCTCCCACCACCACCTCCTCTGCATTGATCTGCATCCTCTCTCCCTCCCGGATGACGAGGGCTTGCTGTGGAGAGGCCATGGACATCACAGGAAATGCTCATCTCTGTCTCCGCCTTTGATGGCTGCTGGCCCTCTCTCCAACCCCACCAAGGGAGAAAGAAATCTCCACAACTAGGTCCTGGTATGGAGACCCAGGTGGGTCTTTTCTGCCTGTCTCCATCTCAGCACAATGTGTTGAGCTGGGATAAGCTGGATCATCCCAGGAACCTTATGACCCGGCCTGGATTGAGCCTAGCCCTGTTATCTACCTGAGGTACCATGTTCTTAAAGGAATCCATGATCTTGGAGCTCTTGGCCTCCTGGTAGTAGGAAAAGCAGCCAGTGACGATGACCACAGCTGCCAGCACCACCCCTAGATATAGCTGGTAAGAGAGGAGAGTGTGAGGAACCTGCTCTGGCTTCTCCAAGCACTCAGTGCCCTCCTGCACCAGAGCCCAGATCTCTGTCTGTCTCTGGGAGAGAGTGGTAGGGGAAAGTCCTTCTCTCCAACCTCCCTTGATCTTCCACTCCCTGGTTTCCTAGGATGAAAGGGGCAGAGAGGAACTGAGTCACTCATTGAGTGCTCGTAAATTGAAGGGGCTTTGTAGACAGGTACAGCAGCCTCACCCCTTTTCAGCCCGAGGTACCGGGCAGCTGTGGGACTGTGCCGTGAGAATCTTGCTCCTTGCACTCTATATTAGGGTCTTAGAGTTGGAGGACAGAGTTATGGGCTGGTCCAGGGTGAGGTATGTGGCTCACATTGTCATTGGATGGTTCATCCTCCATGGCAGCCTGAATGCCAAAGGCCAGGAAGCACAGGATGGCCCCAATCCACAGCAGGATGGAGAAGCCCCCAAAAAGCTGACGGCAGAACTTGACCCACTCGGGGGTTGTGGGGGGTGGAGTGAGGGCATTGGGCCCGTCCCGAGCCAGAATGTCCTGAGCCCGCTGGTTGGTGAGGCCCTAGGGAGCAAGCGAAAAGGTGTGAGATTAGGGATCCAGAGCCAACCTGACTGTCCCTGCATCCCATAGGCACCTCTGCAGGGGGACAATGTCCAGCTGGGAGGAAAATCCCACCTGGCTGGAAGGGCAGGAGAACATCAGCAGAGACTGCACGGGGGAGGTGCCATTTGTGAGGGGACTTGGAGGCCTTGAAGGCTGAGAAAGACTGACTGTGGTTTCACCTCTGAGTCTCACAGAATTGATACACATTTTGGGTGGGGTCACAACACTTCCATGAAGGCAACCTGGATAAGCTCCCTGGAGAGAAAGACACCTCATTGGATCCCTCCTCCTGGCTCTCTTCCTCCGGATTCTCGCTTGTACCAGGGAGACCCTACAAGACAGACTATCACATGACTTTGGGAATCACCTGTCACTTTCCATAGAAATCCTGGCCAGGCTTTGCTCCTCTGGCCCCAGGCTGGATCAGATGCTCCTTTTTGGGTCCTCACCATGCCCTATGCTTGATCCTAGAGTGGCACTTGCCATATCACTTTGGCATTCAATTTTTTTCTACTAGACTTTGACCAGGGTCAACTTATTTATCTTTGTGTCATTCATTCATTTATTTAATAAATGTGCACTGAGCATTTACTATATGCCAGGCACCATGGGGAATTCAGAGATAGACACAACCAACAAAGTTCCTGCCCTCTAGAAAGATCAAAAGCACAACAAAAAAGGTGCATATTAATACCAGAGGGTGAAAAGGTTGTTAAGGGAAATAAAGTAAGATATAGGAATGGGGGCACAGAATTTTAGGAAGTGCAGTAGGGAAGGAATGTAGAAGGAGATATTGACCCCTATAGTTTTTCTGTTAACATGTTTTCTTTTTTTCAGATGAATTCTCAGTGTTGCCCAGCGTGGTCTTGAACTCAGAAGCTCAAGTGATCTTCCCACCCCAGCCTCCCAACTGACTGGGACTACAGTTGTGTACCACAATGCCCATCAGATTAGCAATCTTGGAAACAGCCCAAATGCCCATCAACTGATGAATGAAGAAAAATGTGAGTTTTTAAATATACACAATGGAGTACTAGTCTGCCACGAAGAAGGATGAGCTTGAGACATTTATAGCTAAATGGATGCACCTCAAGACCATACTTTTAAGTGAAATAAATTAGCCACACATGTTTAAATACTGCATTGTTTCTCTGGTGTGAGAAACTGAAAGTGGAAATAGGGACTAAAATGTATAATAAACATTGGGAAATGAGAAGAAAATGTTGAAATGAGAAGGGGAACAAAGGAGGGGGGAGAGAGAAGGGACAAGAAAAAAAAAAGAAAAAGAGAAGGAAAAAAATGGAAACAAAGCTTTTGTATACAAGGAGGGGAAGAGAGGTCAAGGAGGAGGGGAATGGGAAAAAAGAAGAAGCAAGAAAGGGGAACTCCTGGAAGCCAGGACTCCTTAGAACCCAGGTCCCCACCACTTCCAGGCAGGGCCCTTCCTCACCACTCCCACCCCAAGCAAACCACCTTTCCCAGAGCTGACCCCTTGAACAGTGAGCCCCCCCTTCCTGTTATTACAGTAAGTTCCTTCTGCCATATGCTACTCACCTGGTGATGTGACAGATGCATCGTGTACATTTCTCTAATCGTTACAACAACCCTCCCAGGTAGGTAAGACTGGCCTGCTAATTAAAGCTAGGAGATTAGGATGTAACTTCCCAAGGTCACATAAACAAGTAAGCGGCACAGTCATGTTGCTCAGCCTAACATTTTGAAATGTTAACATACAGGGGAAGAGCTTTGCTCTAGGAAGCAGAGGTCCAGGGTCTAGTTCTGGCTCCGCCACCAGTAAGCCACGTGACTGGGGGAAGCCTCTTATTTCTGGGCCTGTTTCCTCACCTGGAAAGAATGTTGCATTAAGGCCTTAAGGCTCTCCCACCCGATGCTGCATGGTTGTCTCACCGCTTGGGTGCCCCTGGAAATCCACCTGCTCACCTTGGAGAGGTCCACTTGGTACTTGCGGCCCAGCTCATCCAAGGACAGTTTGTGGTCATCCTGGGGGAAGGGAAGTAGAGTTGCCTTGGGGAAGGAGGCACAGGGGTGAAGTGAGGAGCAGAGGAGGGGGTGGGGCACTGGCAGCTCTCCCAGCACGAAACCCCTCTTCTGTGGCCCTACTGGGCGGGTTGTGGGCCTCACCATAGCCACCTCCTTCTTCAGCTCATCCAGCTCCTTCTCTTTCTGTTTCTTCTTGCCGCCCCCATTCTCTGCTGTGGTGGCGGCAGGTGAGTACTCTCGACCCGCCTGCGGGAGGAAGAGGGACCGTCAGGGGAGCTGCGTTTCAGCTCTTTAGTATGTGGGGCTCTGCTAAGATTTCCTTTGCTTAAGGGCTACTGCTGCTAGATACAAAACATCCCACAATTTTGAAAACCACATCCTATACTACCTAGGAGAATTCTGGAAGGAAGTGGATAGGCTTGGGGCGGCGGTGGGGGGTGGGGTGGACTAGGAGCACCTGTAGGAAGGTCTTTGCCCAACACCATGGTTATTAGACTTACAGAGGTGTAGGGATGGTTAGGAGTTTCTTTGGGTAAAACTGGGAGGAGAAAAGGGTTTGGTGGTGAAATGGTGGGAGCAGAATGGGTAGGGCCAATGGACTAGAGGGTCTGAATGTGCACAGGAAATGGGAATGCAGGGCATGTGGGAGCCCTCTCCGTCCTGCTAGCCAGGCCTTCCCAAGACTGGACAGGGGTAATGCATGGGACTCAGTGCTTCAGAGCACAACTGGGTAAGAAGGGAATTGGACTCCATTTGTCCAAAAACATAAGAAGTTGCATTGAGGGGTAAATCTAATACTAAAACGTGTGAAATTCTTGGGTCATCCCTGTGTCATCTGGTGAGATCAGAAGGACATTTTAACTGTAGCCTCATGAGGCCAAGTTTTCCCTTTCTCTAGGCTTCCAGGGTCTCACAGGGAAGTTTTGGGGGAGAGGGTGGGGAATTTCTCCACCCAAGGGGAACCATCCTGAAGTGATGGGACCGGAGGGGCTGAGGCAGGCTGGGAGCCGCGGCTATTGTCTGAGAATGGCACTGTCTCACACTGCCTTCGTCCCTCTCTCCTGTCCTCCCTCTTCCTCAGTAGACAGTGTCCTTGCCACAGAAGGGCTTCTTGGTATCTGCCCAATGTGTCTAGATTTTGCTGGATCCCAAAGGCTAAACTAGGCTTCAGGAAGGAGTTTTTCTGTACTATGATGTGATTTGCTTTTCTTTTTTCCCCATAAAGAGTGGTGGGATCAACAGCCAAAGTGTGTGCATTGTCAGGATTATGCATTAGAGGGGGTGGGTCTTGGCGGGTTGGTGAGTTTTCAAAAAGATGGTTTGTATTTGGAGCAGTTTTTTGATTCACAGAATTGAATGAAAAGTAGAGAAAGTTCTCATGTATCTCCTGCTCACTTCGTCCATGGGCAGCCTCCTCCACTGTCAACATCCCCCACCAGAGTGGTAGATTTGTTACACACTTATTACATTGATGAACCTACACGGACACCACTCAATGTCCATGGGTTACGCTAGAGCTCAATCTTGGGGTTGTACATTCTATGAGTTTGGACAAGTGTGCTTTGCTATGTATCCACCACAGTGGCATCATAAGGAATAGTTTCGCTGCCCTAACTCTTCTGTGCTCCATGATAAAGCATTTTTCCCCATTAAAGAGTCAGGAGCCATCCCAGGAGTGTGGCCCCTCCCTGCCTTGATTAGGAGAGGTCACAAATCTGGTACCGTGAAGAAAGAGAAATCTGAGCAGTGAAACCAGGAGCCAGGTTAGGGGTGGGAGATAAGCACAGGGTGGACACTTGTTTCCTAGATACAATGACCTAAAAGGATATGAGCTCCTGGAGACTGTATTGCTCAGAAATGAAGGTGACCAGTGAATTGTGCATTTGTCTCCAGCTGAAGCACCTATGAATTGAGCCTATTTTGGGCCTTCTAAAGACTCCTCACCTTGGGGAGACTGACGTCATCCAACAAAAGGAGTGGAAAAGGGGCATGGGGAGGTCATTCAACGTCTCCTTTCCCCAGGTGACTTAAGAGGGCTCATTTACAGTAAGTCTCTGACTTACAAATGAGTTCCATTCCAGGAGAACTGTTTGTAAGTCAGATTTGTTTGTAAGCTGACAAAGTGAGTCTCGCACAGTACACCTGTGCAAGTTTGCACCTCAAATGTTCGCTATGTTAGGGACTTAACTGGACAGACTGATGCTGTGGATTCACTAACTCTGTCCTTGGCAAGGCAGGGCTGAGAAAATATGGAAAGCAACAGAGGGACAAGAGGCAAGGAATCTCAGCCTGGGTAAATCTCAGCGGGACCTCAGGAGCCTCAGGAGTGGGAGCAGAGCCTAGGCAGGCATTGACAAGGGTCTGGGGCTAGGGCCAAGGAGCAGAGCCCAGAAGAATTCTGTACATTTGATGTGAAATAAGGTACATGAAACCTCGCTGGTCCACGCACATTGGCATGTGGGATCTGGCTGGCTTCAGCAGCTCCGTACACTCCTCGTCTCCTCGAGCTTCCACTCTGTCCTCCCTCAGCCCCAGAACTTGGGATACAGTGCCCCTCCCCTCCTCCTATCCTGGCAAGGATCTCAGGCTTCACAGCCAGGAGCCTGCAGAGATTTGGGGCCAGTGGCTGCCCAGGCAAGGAAGAAAGAGGAAGCAAGGACCACCCCTTCCTCTCCTCTCGCTACTCTTCCCTCCCCCACCCACAAGTCCCTTTCTCTGGGTCTTGAATGCTGAAGGAGAACAGAGAGTTCTTTTTGAGAAGGCCAGAGGCTGGGACAGAGTGGGGGCAGCTGGAAATCGGCCAGGGCTTCCCCCCTCAGCTTCTCTGTGGCAGCTGGAGCAGGCTGGGCTCCCTCCCACCAGTGTTGTCCCTCCGCCCAGCTCCCACACTGCCCTTCAAGGCTGCTCGGTGATGGGTTGGGAGTTAGCCCTCGCTCCGGAGCAGAGATGCAGGGAAGAAAGGACAGCAGGCGAAACAAACCCTAGAATAGCGTGTGGGTGTTGGGGACCTTCCCTCTTCAGGGGTCTCCTTAGGTAGGACTCTTAGCTCCAGGCGCCAAGTGGCCCCACTTTACCCGCTGTCACCATTCGTGCTGAGCGGACCAGATCTGCCACTCATCCTGCTTTTGCTTCACCCACAGCTGCAGGAGGTGGAGGTGACAGCTGCAGGGCTGCTGAGGGGAACAGACTGGAGAAGCCAAGGTCAAGTCGCCTCCTAGGCAGGACTGGTGAGCTGGATCCACCTCCCCTCCTTCTCTCCTTGTGGGTGGAGGGTGGAGGGCCTGCCCGCCTGACCAGCTGGGCCCTGGCCTTACCTAAGAGCTCTGGACCTCCGCTTCAGACTCCCTTTCCATGAGGAACAAGAGCTGTCAAGGAGCAGCCCACATGGTGTGTCTTCCCAGGGCTGTGGGCTCTTCCTCTGGGAACCCACAGCTCACAGACAGTTCCCAAGGGCGGGCAGGCTCACATCCCTCCCGCCCCCCACTTCACTGTGACATCTGTGCTCGTGTGCGCTTGAAGGCTTGCACATGCACAGATTTGCCTGCGGAGACACAAACACTGGTGCTCACCCTCAGATATCTGCGGAGCTTCCAGCCTGTGGGGAGCATGTGGTCATGGATGCACACACATGCACACACACATACACACACACACAGCGCACTGGTTCTATTTCTAGCACCACCTGCTCAACTCAGTGCAATAACCTGTACTTCCAGGACTCTGGCCAGGCCCAGAAATTGGCCCAGAGCTCCCCATGGGCACTGACTTCCTTGATTCCTCCTATGGCTCTCCATGCCCTCTCTCCATGCCCTCTCCCTCTGTGCCCTCTCCCTCCTTGCCCTCCTTTGCCAGCATTCCACAAAAGGAAAGGAGTGAGACATAGTATGTAGAAGGATTGGGTCACTTTTCTCCATATGGGATTTTCATTTCCAAGAACTGGAAGCCCTGTCCCTGCCAGTCCTAATGAGGTGGTTAATCTTCCCCCCGGGCAAAGCCATGGGCCTGAGCTGGGGTTGGGGCAGCTCTCACCAGCCTTTGGGAAAGTCCTCAAAGCCCACGGCCCGGAGTGCAGGACCATGCTGCTGGGGGCATCCGAGGGGTGGTGGCTCAGGCACACCACTCTTCTTCCCCAGCCCACCCCGGCTGTCCCGGAGTGTAGGGGCCCTGGAGCTGGGGTCTGGAACTGCTTGGTGACTGCAGGAGCTGGATGCTCCTCTGCTCCTCTCCAGTCTCAGGCTGGACCCCCACGCTCTCGGGCTCAGACTCCCAGAGGAATGCATATTTTCAAGGGGTAGCAGAGGCAGGAGACTAGCAGACTAACAGAGATGTGGGGTGGTGGGCTGGGGTTACTCCTGGGAGTGAAAGAATGCGAGGCGGGGAGAGAAGAGAACGCTTGGGCCCAAGTGCTCCGTGACCTGTACACCCTTGTGCATTTGGGTGACTCTGAGTTCCAAGTTCAAGCTATCCCGCTGGCTCCGCTTCCCTCTGTCCCTCCCTCCGCATCCCATGCCCACTTTGTCCTTTCTCTGCTGCCCCTTCCCCTCCAGACAGCAGCCCCTGCTCTTGGGGAATACTCACCCCACGACCCATCTTGGGGCAGAGTGGCTGAGGGAACCTAGACTGGAGAGGTCACAGGAGGATCCCAAGCCCACACTGCCTGTCTGGGGCGGCCGCCCTGAGAGCCTGGCAGACAGACGGAGACAGCCGAGCTACAGGGTAGCTTTAAATAGGTCCCTTTCCCCCCTACCCCCGCCTTCCCCTCTTCGGGAAAGAACCGTTTGTTGAAACAGGATCCCCAAGGACTCCTCCCCTCCCGCCCCTTTAGCAACTGGCCTGTGGATAGAGCGTTTTGTCATTTTTGTCCCTCTGCTGTGCCCACCTCGGCTTCCCCAGCCCCCTGGCTGTGGCAGCCACAACTGAAGGAGAGGAAGGGGAGGTGAGGAGTCGGGGAATGTGGCCCTGGGAGGGGTCAGCTCAGGATCCCAGGATGCAGAGGCCATGGGTCCTAACCCTCTACATTTCTAGGTGGGAAACTGAGGCTTAGAGGAATTAAACAATTTGAGCTAATGGGACAGAACCAGAACTCAGGTCTCAAAAAAAATAAACAGAGTATTCCCTCTACTAGAGAGGCTGCCTATACACTGGAGCTTAGTACATCAGAAATGGAACCCAGGGTTGGCCCCTGCCTTTGAGTGGAGGGCTTGTGGACGCTAAAAGACATTCAAGAGGCCCCAGGAAGGTCCCCAATCCCTCCCAGAGGTGACCTCAGCAACCACAGCTTTCCAGGACAACTGAGGCTCCTGAAGCCAGGAGGTGGCCCAGAGGGGCAGGCGAGGGGTAGAGGGGACCTGTGGGAACCAGGAAGGCAGCCCTGGACCCAGTGCAGCAGGTGTTTGATGACAGCTCTATGTTCTGGGCCCCCTTGCTAATGGCGTGGACATGTGTCTCCCTCCTTTCGCTGCTATTGAAGAGCTGAGGGCTGAATCTACATCTGAGGCGGGACAGCGGCAAGTGCAGAAGTCAACAAAGAAAACGCAGAGTTCCTAAGAAGTGTTTGGAGATCCGTATCATAACAAATAGCAGCTGGGTGAACTAGAAAGGAGAATAACCATTCCCTTCTCCTGAGATGGAGGGGAAAGCAAGCCTGCAGCATGCAGGATGGAGGGCAGACCGAGCAGTGGCCTCCGGCGGTGATGCCTAGGAGAACTGGGGGAACAGCCCGGAGAGGACAGGGCCCCACCTCAGGCTGGAAGGCTTGTCTCTAAGCTTGTACCAGCCAGAGAGAGAAGAAAATATTCTGGGAGCAGTCTGAGGACAGGGTGCTCCCGGAGTGTCCCCACCTTTCTGGGTGCAGAGATGGAGTGAGGGGAAGTCAGTGCCTCAGGGCTGGGTCTGAGAGACCCAAGAGGAAGGAAGGAGGAGGGGAAGAGGGAAGGGATGGGAGCTTTGGCCCAGAGGCCTAAGGTACCCGCTGGCTGGGCTGGGGCCTCCCTGGCCCGGAGGAAACTCCCCACAGAGGGATTAGCAACCTCTCTTCCAACAAATCCACTCTCAGGGCCTAGGGCTCACATCTGAATTCCCTAAATAACTGGCCCTCTCCTGGCCCGAAGCAGAGATTTTCCATTACAGGGATCCGGAAGGTCACATCCCACTCCCACCCTCCTTCCTCCTCCTGGGTTCCGGACAGGAGGGTGGGTAGGACAGGGCGCCTCGGGCCTTTTCAGGTCTCTCCATGGCCTCTGCAGACCTTGGATTTGGGCCTAGGGTAGAAGAGGCAGGGAAGTGAGGGCAAATAGATACCGAGCCTGTGCGCAGAGGGGAGTGTGAGGGGAGTCGCCGGAGCTGTGGCAGGAAGGCCGTGGTTAGACATCGGAAGGACGGCCTCGAGAAGAAGTCACTAGAAGAGTAGCTCAGAGCTGAGTGGGCACTGGAGGAAGGGAGCTTGGCCTGGGGCCAGGGGCAGACCCGAAGATAATGGGGTGTAGGGAGCACCTGTGCCTTAGTGTCCTAGGTTAAGCTCCTGGGCTACCTTCTGTCTAGAAGGGGAAGCTCCAGGCACTGGGCCCCAGTGGCTTTCAGTCCATCCTGCTTGTCCCTTCTGCCACTTCCCAGGCCTGCCCAGTCCTTTTCACACCTTGGCTCTGGTCCCTGCAGCCAGGCTCAGCACCAGAAAGGACTGTGCCCTTCCTGGGCTCCGGCAGCCTGCAGGGCTCCCTGCCATGCCTTGCAAGGGCCCTGCAGAGCCCCACGGGCATGCTGCTCACAGGCTCAGGGTCCCAAGTGAGAGGTGGACGAGACACTCAACCCATTCTCACCCATGCCTCTTGGACCACCTGTCAGCTTGGTGAGGGCTGAGGTTCATGCACCATGCACCCGGACTCCAGGGCACAAGCCAGGTAGACACTCAGCGCTTTGATCTGGGGTGCCCAGGTTGGGCTACTGTTCCTTCGAACCAGGACAGTGGTGCCCACGTGAATCAAGGTCCTGTAGTGAGATGGGAGGGGGACAGAAAGATTCAAAGGCCAAGCCAGGTGTGATGGGGCACGTCTGTAATCCCAGCACTCTGGAGGCTGAGGCAGGAGGATTGCTGTGATTTCAAGGCCAGCCTGGATTACTTAAGGAGACCTTGTCTCAAAAAAAAAAAAAGACTCACAGGCCTAAGGTAGGAAGGTCAGAGTGACCCTGCTGGAGCGCACCCCGTGATGATTCCGAAGGACTAGCTCGTCAAAAGAGGGGCGCTGCTCTCACCTGCGTGTGGTCCGGCCGTGAGAAATCGGGTGCCAGTACAGGAGCGCGCAATGCACGTGTGCGCGTGCGTGCTTGCACGTGTGTGGGCCGCGGGAAGCGCTGGGCAGCCGGGTGTGGGCGGACGTGAGAGTCCATGGGAGAAAGTGCGTACCGGAAGGGGGGCACCGCACAGCTGCAGAGGGACTAGCAGGTCTCCAAGAAACGGTTCCGTTTCCTAAGTGACTGGCCTCCTGGGGCCTCCAGCCCAGACTTGAAGGTTGTTTCAAGATCATGAAAGCGAGAGCGAGAGCGGGAGGGACCGAGGGAGGGGAGGGGAGGGGAGGGGAGGGGAGGGCCGCTCCTCCCGCCCCTCACCCCACTTCTCCGCCCCCGTCCCGAGGTGGGCCCAGTTTCACTGCCCGCCCTCTGGGCAGTCTCTGCTCTCTGTCCTCTCCCATCGCCCCGAATCTTCTTGCCTTTTCTTCCTCGGGGTCTGTGGCTTGACACCACACGCTGCCAGGCTTCTGGTGCCTTTGGGGGGTGTAGGTGAGAATTTCCCGCTTCCAAGGGCAGGCTGTCTTGGACTAGGTTAGGTGGGAGCCTGGGACAGCCTGGGGGGCGCCCTGCCCTGGCTGATGTCCAAGAAAGGCACCTTTTCATGCCTCTTTCCTCCTGGGCCCCTCTCTTTTCACTGCCCCCGGCGGGAGTGACTTTGAGGTGGGCAGGTGCCTCAGAGCCACAGAGTGGCTGCCCAAGGCCTGCTTCTGTCTCTGCTTCCCCACTGGACCGCAGGGACACTATTGGATTTTCTTTCCGTCTCTTCCTTGATTTCTGTTCCTCCATATTTCTTCTTGGTATTTCTTTTTCAACCTACTCAAAGTAGATCCTAAAGATCTCTTCCTTATTTCTATCATCTTTAATCTCTTCCATTGGATTTTTATTATCTTTTTCCAAAAATTGTTAAAATCACATTAGCTAGAATTCAGAAAATAGAAAAAAAGCCCTCAGAAACGTTTCCCTCAGCCTTTCTGCCTCTGTTCCATTCCCCTCTTTTTGCCTTCCTTCCTTTGCTCTGGGTTTGGACAGCCCAGTTGAGGTCCCAGCTGGGCACACTGGTGACAGTGGGAGGGAGGATGGGCGTCAGCCACTCTCTGAAGGCACGAGCGCCCCATGCCTCTGCTTGCCACCTGTGCTCCCCGGGGTCCCCCCCCCCCCCGTCTAATGCAATGGGCGCTTGCTTACAATCAGGTCAGCTGAGGATGTCCCACTGGGGCCACTGCCACCTGTGTGGC